TTATACATACTTATCTATATACATTCGTTAATAAATTCGAGCAATTGAATTAAAAATTTTAGTTTTTTGTTTATGGAAATGAGTTGGCATCCCTGTTCACAACCCTAGTCTTCAAGTCATGGCAACTAGGGATTTCGATGCTTCGATGCATCGTAAACAGTTTGACCGTTTTGATCCAAGTGGATCAAAACTGATAATTTTTCGATGAATTTTGGAGAGATACATTTTTTATTCAATTTTGATACGTACATCCAAAAGTGGATCAAAACTGATAATTTTTCGATGAATTTTGGAGAGATACATTTTTTTATTCAATTTTGATACGTACATCCAAAAGTTCATTGTCGTTCTCTGAACGAACCTTTCATGTATTGTGATTCAAGGTCCATATCGAAAAACGTCAAAATGTGAACAAACGAACAGTATCATAGCGGTGCATTTTTTTTATATTCGCTATGTTCAATAACAAAAATTAGGGCTTGGTACTCGGTAATTCGGTGCTCGGCAAGGCCCTGTTTCCACAGGAAAACACCAATGTCGTGATAACAATGCCACAAAATACATTTCCAATGGATACCGCCTTATTGCTTGACATCTATTGCAGGCAATTTGATAGTTTGACAGCCATATTTTTACTTGATAGAAAGCGTGCTGGTGGTTATATCGATGAAATATTAATATTAAATCAAAATAAGAATCCGTTCCCTATTGGATTATTTATGACAACGTTTTTGGAAGTTATTGAGTTTGTTAAGTTTGTTTAAGATTTAAATGTTTTTTAACACCGAAATTTAGAGAATGTTGTCTGGCGGCGATGCGGCAAATGCTTATACATATCAAGACATCAAAGTGCCCACACACAACAGTTGGTAGGCAATAAAAATTGCAAGGTGTAACTGCAACTGAAACTACGCAAATCGCATTCGGGAAATAATTTCAACTTGCTCGTGCAATAAATGTTGAATTGTTTTTGAAAATGGTTTTTCATAAAAATTATTGTTTTTATTCCATATTGATGCTTTGATACTTAAATGAAAACAAAAGTGATAGATATTGATACATTTTAAGTCTCTTTTCTGCTACATTTTTCAGAAGCCCGCGGCCACACTGATCATAAATTGTCCACTCGATGCATCGATGTTTTCTGTGGACTGAATCTCTAGTACATCGAACCGGCAAACATCACTTTATTTCATTATTCAATAATGAAAGGTTTTGTAAGTAGTTTTTTCTAAAATTTGACACTCCCATCAGCAGGGATAGTTTTTGAAGCAGAATAAAACGGGGAAGAATTCAATCACACTTTCTAAAATGGTAGCTAAATTCCTCAAAAAGGTAGGAATAATAGTGCATAGTGGCAGCGTTGCCGAAAGGTTTTATTTATAAATTTGTATGATGTCCTACGGCATCAATAATATTTGAAGGAGCTGAAATCCGCACCAGCAAATAACGATATATTTGTACTAAGAAATTGCAATTGGTAAATTTTTTAAATGAATTATTAAATCTATGCATGTTCCAACTTATTTTATTAAATGTTTGTAGTGTTATTTAATTTAATTTAAATAAAATAAAATACCATATTTAAAATACTTTGCGTGTTTTTTACACCAGTTAGTACAAATGATGCCATATGGCATCATTCTAAAAAACACAATGGAATCACATTTTGGAAAAAATTACATTGAATATTTTTATATTATGTATTAAGGATCATTTAATAAAAAAATTGCATTTTTAAAGTCCCAATCTAAAAAGATGTACCCAAAGGGTTAATGGCACAATCCGCTTTTAAGAGCTCGGCGCTAAAAGTTAAATAAAACCCTATAATAAGGGGAGATCAGCTATTTCCACAATTCTTTCAAAATCACCTGTAGTGTCTGAATTATTTACATTTCTGTTGTCATATATTGAACTATTCAACCTTGATAACATACTGTTTGATATTGGAAATGTTTTGCAGCAGCCTTTATATAACACTTTATTCGAACTATTGAATTAAGGCTTTCCAACCTCATCCTATTTCGAATCTTAGTTTTTGTTGAATTCATCACGGAAAAAACGCGCTCAACAGAGCATGAGAGTGCGGAAAGGATAATAATATGAATTTACTTATATTTCCAAACATTTTATTGCCTGTTGCGGTTTTCACTCCGTAAGCAAATATCCAAAATTCTTCAGAGTCGGATGGAATGGTTCTGCGAAGAGTTATTAAATGGGAAGTTAAAAGATTTAAATATTCAGTTTCCGCTGCTTTTCTTACCTTCAAAGTCAAATAGTGAATTGGCAGGTACCTGAAACCCGGCCTCTTGTGATTCACACACTTTTATGGTGACAGAATCAAAGCTTTTATAAAAGTATTTAATTGATAAGGTAATCGTTTCAAAAGTTCTTCGATTAGGATGATTACACCTTTTTGACAGTCTTTTAATATGCTTCTTAAGTCAAGTTTATCACGCATTGCATTAGCCTCTTCTGCAAAATTATCGTAGAAAACTCAGTTTTGTATATTTTTATAATTGGAAAAAATGTATTTGAAGGGAAAAATCGCCAAAAATCACCAGTGGCGATTTTCTAAATTTTTACGCGCAAATATCAAAAAAAAAATCGCTAAATTGGCGCGAAATCGCCTATTATGAATAAAAATTGCCTGAGGATTTTTTCTCTTTTCCCTATTCTCCTATTCTAAACGATCTTCGAAAAAGGGAAAATGTATTTCGGGGAAAAAGTAGGTGTTACGAATGTCAAAAAGGAGGATAATTGATTTCGTTATTCTGGGAGAATTTTCACCGATATTTTAAAACAGAACCGCTACAAAAATATAAGTTAATTACAATTTAAAGGAAATTTGGTGTAATAAAACGTTTAAACCTTTCATTTTAGGTCCAAAACAACAAATGAGAAACAGGTAGAAATCTTAATAAGCCTAATGGAAGCTAGGTTATTTTTGTTTATTACATGAAAACGCGCGATTGAAATCAAAATATTTCAACTCACATGTGTAGTTAAAAGACTAAATTTTAATTTAGCACTAATATTTAAAATTCCGGAGCGCTAGTTTATTAACTAGCTTCCAAAATTCGCGCGATCTAAATTAAAATCTTTCAACTTACCCGTGTAGTTAAAAGATTGATCTTTAACTTAAAACACAGATTTCCGCGCACTAATTTATTAACAACTTTAATCTGAAATACTCTTTTATGTGAAACACACTTTTATGTGTAAGACACGCAAATTAAATGGCGGGGATTGAGCTGTCAAAATAACTGTTAAACAGCTCTTCGAAATTTCGAATTTGCTGCTCCCAAATTTTCGGGGAAAATGCTGCTCCCCGGCAGTTTCGAATAGGAGGATTTTATTCTCGAGAAAAGTAAAATCCGCGAGAAATTAAATTCTCGGGATATTCAGAATTGGGCTGTGTGTGTCTTTATATACAGGCTGGTTGCTATGGAATCTCCAGGTTACCTTTTTAATAAGTTAGTATTTACTAGGTCTAGACGGGTACCAGATCTAATTGTCCCTCATTTTAGTACGTTAGCATCAGAGAGACTGTTTTTCGTCAAAGCTATACGTTTGTGGAATTCTATTCCTGCTGGTGTAAGAAGTAGTCTAAGCAGAAGCCATTTTAAGCAATCTATTTACGCACATTTTAAAAAATAATGTTTTGAATGGACTGGCCATCTATCTTTACCACCATCACCATCTATCTTTACCTATCAATCTCTATCGGTGTTTGGGGTGATTCGTGGCCGGAGACCAAATAAAAACATCCACAATCTTCGTTGGCATGTAATAATGTGTGGAATGTTTTATTTCCTTTAGAAAAATTGAAGTTAGTTACATTAATATAATTTACAAAATTTTACTTACACTTTTGTGTGATTCCTCCGATATGCCAGCCACGAATGCCGCTATTTTCTTTGCACATAATGGCTGTCATATTGTTTACACAATTTGGCATGGCGGTGCCACTAACACAAATTTTTACAAATAATTTACGATACAATTAGGATTGCCATATAACAAAAAATACAAGTATGTTTTATTAACTCCTAAGCCGCGCCAACATCCCCGCCTCCGTCGATCTAACCAGGTCCACCAACATCTAACCTGGACAATATGCATGCCGGGCGTTTGTACATGCCGTCCCGTGTTTGCACTCGCGCGGCTCTTACTTGTCCATCGACGCCTGGGAACACTTGGACAATCCGCCCGGTCGGCCACTTCGATCGATGCATGTTTCCGTCGCAGAGCAGGACGATGTCATCTACGGCTAGGGGCTTATGTTTACCACACCACTTTGTTCGCCTCGTCAAGTCGGGAAAGTACTCGTCTATCCACTTTCTCCAGAATCTGTGTTGCATTTGTTGAACTTTGTACCACTGCTTCCTGGTCGGGATCATCATTTCTTCGTGCGGATGTGGCGTTTGTTCGGAGTTTGGAGTACCTAGGAGAAAATGGTTAGGGGTTAGCGGTTCGTCAGTGTATTCGTCTAGTGGTATGTGCGTCAACGGTCGTGCATTAACTATGTTTTCTGCTTCGTACATGAGGCTGTACAAACAGTGCTCTTGAAGGGTTTCGTCGTTCAGCGCATATCCCATTGCACGTTTCACGCTACGGACAAGTCGCTCCCAGCAGCATTAGGATTCAGGGGGCAATTGAAAACCCATTCGATGTGTTTGTTCGCCAATGCGATAGGTATTTTGCCATTCTCGAAATCGATCCTCTGGCGTCTCATCTCTTTGTGAGCTCCGATGAAGTTTGTGCCATTGTCGGAGCGGATGCGCACTAGTGTTCCTCGGCGGTTCATAAAATTTCGTATGCACATGAGACAGGTATCCGTTGACAAATCCTTGGCGAATTCTAAATGTACTGCGCGGATCGTAAGGCAAGTAAATAGCGCGATCCAACGCTTCTCCCTTCTTCTGCCAATCGCGACTGTAAACGGACCCATGTAGTCCAGACCGACGTATGTAAATGGCCTTACGAAGGGTGTAAGTCTATGTACCGGAAGTTGGCTCATTTGTGGGGGATTCGGCTTGGCCCTTTTCCCTTACGCAAACTTGACATCTTCGCGCAGCACGACGCACCTCTGCTCTGAATTGTGGAATCCAATATCGCCGCTGTATCTCCGCGATTATCATGCCCTCATTTGATGCTTCCAGATTTTGTGATAGTAATATACCACGAGCTCGGTGACGTGATGGAGTTTCGACCTGTATCATTCTTACTTCATCTAGCGCCGGTGTGAGGGTTCTCAGCGAGCTGCTCCGTTCCAAATTCTCTCCCGCCATCAGCGCGTAATATTCCTCAGCAAAACTCTCCTGTTGTACTGCACGAATTATCGCAATTTCAGCTCTTCTTACTTCCGTAACGCTTGGTCCTCCGTAGATTCTTTTGCTTACGTCTTTCCTACAGTTGTTTCGGAATCGCAGAATCCAACCTACTACTCTGGTCATGCGGATCAGCGTCGAGAACTTCATAAACATGGAAAAGCTTATCTTAACTGTCAGAACTGTGAATTTTGCGCGAAGTTCCTCTTGCGTATTCGGACTCACCTCGTCCGGCGGCCACCGGTGTTCATCTTCTGGTAGGAACTTCGGACCACCGATCCAGGTCGAATTTCTTTTGTCTGCCCTCGGACGTGTTCCCCAATCAGCCGAGTTCAAGGCGCCTAGAATCCACCGCCACTCTTTAACGTTGCTAGCCTCCAAGTTCTCGTTCGCGCGATGAGCCACGTTTGGTTTATAGCGCCGGTGATCAGATTTTACCCAAGCTAGCACCGTTTTGGAGTCACTCCACATCACCACTCTTTTAGGGATCTTGTCGTGACATTGAAGGATGCTCTTGCGAAGTCGCGTAGCCAACACTGCAGCCTGCAGCTCAAGGCGGGGAATAGACGTAAGCTTTAATGGTGCGCATTTTCTCTTTCCTGAGATGAATATGGGATTGGAGCTACTTCGGTCGCGTCGGAAAATATGTGTAGTTCAACTGGTAACTGTTCGAAGTGTAATCCGTAGTACCGCGGCACGCTTATTTCTTCCAAACGCTTGATCGCTTTCAACCATCTTAGCCATGGTTGATGCAATTCTTCCGAGATATATTCATCCCAGCCGGTACTCGCACGCCAAGTTGACTGTAAGAGGAGCTTCGCTTCCATAGTATACTCCGCCAGCAAGCACTACTGGATCCACCTTCGCTAACAACAGCACAAATCTGAAAACATCATTAATCGTATCCCGAGGACTTTCTGAAAAATACCAGCATTATCTCTATCGAGGTTCAAGTAGGACGGGCGTTCTTCTTTATTATTCATTCTTTTAGTTAGCTGTTCAGAGTTTGATACAAAGCGCTTTAATTCAAAACCTCCCTGTTTATGAACCCATACTATCTGCTCAGTTATTCGGATTGCCTCGTCTACGGTGGAGAAACAGTGGACAAAATCGTCGACGTAGTGGTTGTTGACTATGGCCTCCACCGCTTCAGGAAACCGTACTCTAAACTCCTCTGCGTTTTTGTTCTTAACGAACTGTGCCGAGCTTGGGGAGCAGATGACTCCAAATGTCATCGCGCTCATAGTGTAGACTTCGATGGGATGTTCAGGGTGTGTTCTCCATAAGAAGCGTTGTGCTGCTTGATCCTCGGCGCGTATCTTCACCTGGTGGAACATTTCCACTATGTCCGCACATACACCTACTTGCTTCTGCCGGAATTTCGTTAGGATGGTTGCTAAAGGTTGGTTTAAGTCTGGTCCGCTAAGCAAAGTCGAGTTCAGCGATACATTGTTAACTTCCGCAGCAGCGTCAAAGACAAGTCTCATCTTTCCAGGTTTGTTCGCGTTCCAAACTCCAAAGTGTGGTAGGAACCAGCTACGCTTCCCTCCTGTCAAGATCTCATCCGCCGTGAGTTTCCTTGCATATCCTTTAGCCTCGTATTCCTTCATTACGTGAACGTATGCTGACTTAAATTTGTTATCGCACTTGAATTTCTTTTCTAGAGCCAACAACCTCTTTTCCGCCATTTTTCGACTATTTGGTAGTTCCACATTCTCCTGCCTCCAAAGCAGGCCAGTCTCGAAGTGGGAACCCTTTCTCACGGTCGTAGTTTCTAACAACTCTTTAGCTCTGACTATATCTGCAGCCACATAGTCCTGCACCCCTTCGCGTACATTAAGATCTTCGTTAATTAAATAGTCACTCACCAAACGCTCGAGCCTCTCTAGACCGTTATCCACATTTGCAAAGTGCACATAGTTGCACCGTTCTCCAACGCCTCGATTCCTACCACCGTAGACAATCCAGTCGAGCGTCGTAAGTGTCACAGAGTAACCATCCATTCCATCGTCAACAGTCTTCCTTGAGATGCTTAAGTGTGCGTTGTCTAACCCAACCAACAGTTCCGGGACCGCTCTATCATATCTCTTGATCGGCAAGTGATGATATTTGTACGGTACCTCAGATAGCTGGAGTGTCTGTGCCGGCAGTTGATGGTTGTTCACCGTTCTGATATTCCGCAACAAAAACCTTTTATTAAACCTACCAACCCCGGATATTTGTACGTCGACCCTGCTTGACTGCTCTGTTACCGTGGTGTCGACGAACCATTGCAACGTTAAATTTTCCTTCTGCCCTTTGAGCCCGTCCAGCCAAGTCACTATTCATCATTGATATTGCCGAACCATCATCGAAGAGGGTGAAACTGTTTATGACTCGCCTGTTGGCGTACAACCGCACTGGCAATATTTTGTACAGCAATCTTGAACTCGGATTTGGAATAATAGCACTGGTGAGGACTTGTTGCCGTGCCGCAGCTTCCATTGGACGCCGTCCATCTGTTGTTCCTTGCTGGCGAGCGTGAAGTAGCTCGTGCTGCTTCCGCATGCATCGGTCTATATTGCGTCTGTGTTGTTCAGTGCAATCGTTGCTCCTGTGACCACTTCGCAGACAACAATCGCTTTTGTCAGACTACACGCCATCGCTGACTCCACTGCATGTCAAGGAACCTCTTACATCGGCTTATTACGTGTCTGCCTTCACATACCACACATATGCTTGCATCACGGTTACCATTGTTAATGTCCTGGGTGTGAAAGAAACGCGTTCGACCCTAAACTTTTCCGCTCTGCCTGGGATCCGAGTTCGTATTGACGCAAGCACTCGCCACCAACCTCGAAAGCTCTTGCAACCAGTCGCTGAAGTGACATATGTTCGGCCTCAGTACAATGGTCAAGGCATGCCTAGCCCAGTCGATCCTCCTTTGTACTGGTAACTTCGCAGCTCATCCATGAGTGTCGGGTTCGATAAGTGGTGATCGCAGTTGGCAGATTGTAAGAACGAGGATAAATTCTGTACCTTGGTAGCGAACGGCATAATTTGTTCAATTCGATTTTCCACAATAGGAGCTACACCCTGTATCTTTGCGATTTGGCTTTTTACGAGTTGCTCTGGCCTACCAAGGCGGTCTTCAAGGGTACTAATGACGCGCGGCACGTGCTGCTATGAATAAGTAGGCATTCGACCACCTCTCTTGCATTACCTTTAATGGCCTTCTGCAAGCGCATCATATTTTGTCGCTCACTGTAGCGATACTCCTCTGTGGTCATAGCAAACATCCTAAAACATGGGCCGTCTTCAGGACGCCCATCAAATTCCAGCAGATCGCACAACTTACGCCCTTGAGTTACTCTGGTATCTGCTAAAGTCCGACTCAAATCGCTCAATACCCCTGCCAACGACCCGTTCACGCTATCGACACCAACGTTGCTAGGCGCTCTAGAGGTTGCTTCTAACATCTCGTGTTGTTGTTGTTGATTCTGCCTTAACTCCGCTTGTAGCTCCTGCATCTGCTGCAGCATCATGTTGAGTTTCACCTCCATTGTAGTTTGCTGAGTTTCGCCCGCTTCCATTGGTTGTTGCTGGATTGTCGAATTTAAGTCGTCCAACCATTCGACGTCGCCACCTGATGCCCTACCCTTGCTTCCAGAACGCGTGTTTGGCATGATTACGCTCGTTACCGATGAAACTTTCTTCACCAACAAGAAAACAAAATATTCCGGCTGGACCCTCCTAAATCTTCAAGTTGTGACTCGCTGACGCTATCCCCGATGAGGTTTAATTCAAAATTTCGAATTCGTAAAGCAAAAACAAATGTAGGAGTTGAGGCGCAAAACCGACTAAAACCACAGACTAAAGACCATTGAGCGGACGAATGTTTTTATTTTCCTCAATTTTGTAAAGTCAAAAGGTACAAGGGCATTGAGACGTGGATCGATGTCAACGCAGTCCAACAACGATTAAACAGGATTTCTTATTAGCAAGCACAAAAAATTGCATACATATGCGCTCCGAATAATCCAATTACAAGGCGGACCAACACGAGCGATTGGTTTTTTCATAAAGATCGCAAAGAAAAAATATTAGCTGAGGCGCAGATCGATGTTTGCATATGCACACCAATGACCAATTAAAAACTCTAGTTTATTTTATATAAATCATAAAAAAATGTTGTGGTTTTAGACTGAAGAAATATTTAAATCCGCACACCAGTAATCCTTTTGCAAACGACTCGTTTTATTTCTCCAGCTCGCAGGAATACAAAATGTAGATGTTGAGTTCAGAGCAATATTCTGGCTGCGCACTCTAATGCTCAACTGAACCACGCAGGTTCGTGAAAAAATTCAAATCGCTATAATCGTAGTTAAAAAAACGTATTAACATTTTCGTCTACACGGCAGTAATGGTTAGGCAAACTCGTTTCCTTGCAAACTCGCAAAATATTTTGTATATGGCTGGGTAAATACAATGCGAATTTATCGCCTATGAATAAGCGTGCCTCAAAGAAATGACTTTATGTTTTTGGTTTTGTACAGTATCCGCATTTTTGTAGTCGCATGCATATATGCCTTTATTATAGAGGCGCAATTTTTTGGACACACCCTAACCTTCGTACATATATATACACGCTATCTTGTGCGTTACGGCTAACTGTTTTTAGGTGCTGTTACGCCTGACTGTTCCCGTTATGTACATCCACGTTAAAACACACTGGCGAACCAACCCCGATACATTTTCACAGAGGTACTCACCTGATGTCCAAAACGCCTACAGATGTACTTGCCGGATTCTTGGTGGTTTTTCCTTGCAGGTGCTCCGATGCTTACAAAACGCTGCCAATACTATGATGATCACTATGTTAATGTATGCTGCCGGGACTCCGGTGCTGGCGCTGGAACTTGCAGTGTACTATAACTGGTGGTCTACTGGAACTAGCAATATGCAACAATGCTGTTGATGGAGCGCGCTAAATGATGAGTAGCTCCCTTTTTCCAATGTACGCCAATTGTTTAATTGCTTTTGAGTTCCCTGCGACAACTACTGCCAAACAGTTATGCGAAAAAACTTTTCATAAGAAGTGAAATAAAAGATGTTTGGGGTGTTTCGTGGCCGGAGACCAAATAAAAACATCCACAATCTTCGTTGGCATGTAATAATGTGTGGAATGTTTTATTTCCTTTAGAAAAATTGAAGTTAGTTGCATTAATACACTTTACAAAATTTTACTTAAACTTTTGTGTGATTCCTTCGATATGCCAGCCACGAATGCCGCTATTTTCTTTGCACATAATTGTTTACACAATTTCGCATGGCGTTGCCACTAACACAAATTTTTACAAATAATTTACGATACAATTAGGGTTGCCATATAACAAAAAATACAATTATGTTTTATTAACTCCTAAGCCGCGCCAACAATCGGAGTTCTCAATTTATTTTCTATCTTTGTATGTTTTTATTTCTTATCTTATTCCTTTGTTCCGTAAACTTAATCTTAATATTTATTTAAATTTTAACTAACAAGTTAAGCAGTGTTTGCATTGTTCAACTTTGCGTTCAACATTTGCGTTCAACTCAACGCAGGGTTACACGAAAAAAAAGTTGAATGGCTAAGGGCCGGTTGTTCAATGTGTGATTAGCACAAATCGGAGGTAGAAGCTCCGGTTAAGCACAACTACTGCTTTATCGATCACATGTTACATGCATGATGTCGAAATCGTCGATAGTGTAGTGGTAGTGATAACCAGACATTGAACAACCGGCCCTAAATGTTGGCTGGCGAACAACTTTGTTGAAAGCGATTAGTTGAAAGGCCGTTCAACCAAAAGTTGAATGCAAAGTTGAACAATGCAAACACCTTTTTATGGCGAATATTGTGATATTTTTTCATATTTTGATATTTTTAGCCATTCAACTTTTTTTCGTGCAACCCTGCGCTGAGTTGAACGCAAATGTTGAACGCAAAGTCGAACAATGCAAACACACTTTTGGGGACTATAATTAAAATGTGTAAACGTTTCACGAAGTAATGTCGTTTTATTTGCTCGCGGTATTACCATGTACATATTTTGCTTAGAGCGTGTGTGAATCGGTAGCAAAGTATGCGGCGAAGAAAAATTTGACAGTTGTGAAGTGAAATTTTTGACAAACGCATAAAAAATTTTGTCAATCGCAAAACTTGTTGATGATCGTTAAATGTAACGCCAAATTACCAAAAAAAAATTAAGAAGAGCTACACTACATCTAAGTATTTCTGTTAAATGCATTACTTTTATAAATCAAAAGCTTCAATTGATTATAAAAGGGAACAACGCAGAGCGTCACATCCTGCTGCAAAAGCGAGTAGAGCAGGATCTGTGGTTCATAGGGAAAACTCCTATAGCAAGACAGGCGTATTTTGGATGGAGATTGATGCACTAATAAGATTTTGTTTATTTATGTAACAGAAACATCGCGAGAGAACTGAGAGAGCAACTGGATGACGGAAAAGACGCAGTTGCGTGTAAAACCCAATGGAATGCCCTGATGAAAAAGTATAAGTCCTTTTTTACATATCGCACAGGCGAGGGGACCGGCGAGGAGGCAACGGCGGAAGGGGCCAAAGACTGGCATAAGTACAAATAATTATAATTTTATACACAGTAAATCACAAAATCATAAAGTGACCTTTTTATAATGTTCGCAATGGTTTCTCTTTAAGAAAATAGTTTTCGGTAATTTTTTATAAATGTATAACTCGTTTGTGCAAAAATTAAAAAAAAAATAAGAAACATTCATTGAAATAGCATAATTTTAGATTAGAACTTCCAGAAAAAAAGTTGGAATGCTGATCTGTAGCCTATTAAGTTATGTTTTAACATTGCAATGACTTTATCCAACATTTTTTTAATAATGCTGCAAGCTGTGTAGCGACTCAAACCCAAAATCTCGGCTACCACCCTATAGCTGCATCCGAAATATAAAAAGCACATCACTTCGTAATCCACATCCATCCATGATGTTT